TTCAACGAACTTTAAATAGATGGGGACCAAGGAGTACTCGGGTCAATTAAATTATTTTACTCTTATTAGAGTGTAGAATACTCTTACAAGCTTAGATTTGTTAGTAGGGATCTGGTCTCAAAGTTATCCTGTGGAATATTACATGTATGCTTCAAGAAAATGATTTTGTCTTATGAACACATTGATTCGAAGCTCAAGGTGGACGATGATTTACTTGAGATTTTATGGAAAGTTGCTGGGCCTTAAGGTATGAAAATGGGCCATACCCATTTGTGTGCCTATAGGTATGGTTTATATGTACAAAAACAAAAAAAGAGTGTCGGAAATTCTAAAAATGATAAATTCATTTGTTGGGTCGAAGTTGTATTTAATTGCAATGTCATGTCTAAAGTGCATAATAACTCACGAAATGAACCTAGCTCGCTATCTAAGATCATGCACCAACCAATAAATTTATTACAAATCTTTAAATTTGTCTGATCATCAATTTAGTAAATTATATTTAAAATGTGAATATTTTCATATTTAATAGTATCATGGAATGAAATAATTAATAATATGTCAATCAAGAAATAAATGTGGACAAATTTAATAATATGTAAAAACATCATTAGCTTCGTCGTGATCTAGTTGGTGAGCTAGGGTTCATGTGATAATGTCTCCACTCACATAATCATAAATTCTTTTTTTTCAAAATAGGGATTTGAGACTTTTTAGAGATAAGAAATATTAATACCAAATGAATCTCTAAACTCAACATACATTGGGGAACAAGTTTCATGACATGAAAAATAATAAAATTCAGATTATAAAATTATAAATAAATTTTTTTAACTAATTATATAGATAATTTTAATCAAATAATAAATATTAGTATAACACACTTAAAGATAAAAGAAAAATAAACAATATAAAATTCAAATAAGGTTAGGTTAGTAATTGTAGTGCATCCTCAGAAAGTAAACAACTTACAAAATAAGGGGGGGAAATGGCTTGCCATAAGGGGCAGGCTTTCGTTTTTCCAGATGGTAAGGCTGCTAAAGCAGCACAGAAATAAGGAATCAAGGCATCAGGTGTGCCTATGAGAACAAAGACAATCACTAACACCTTGTTCATCAGAGAAGAAATTATACTTTCAGTTATAACCCCATATGGCCACGTAAAACCCCACTTTGTCTTTTAAAAATATGTTTTAAAAAATAATTTTTATTTTATTTTTTTGCTTCAAATTAATTTTTTTCCTTTGTATTTTCATATCGTTTTGATGTATTTATATCAAAATTAAATTTTAAAAAATAAAAAATATTATTTTAATTTATTTTTAAATAAAAAAATAATCAAATGATCATTATCACAGCACTAAACAAACTCTAAGAAATCACATAAAAAAAGAAAAACATTAGAAAAGGGACTGAGCTAAGGCTTTTTTTATTTAATTTAGGAGAAAGGAGTTAATTAATATAGTATTTATACTTCATCAAAACTCGTAAAATTCACAAGTTTGCATGATTTTATCAAGCTTACTCAAATCCAATCCTATTTTACTAGTGTTTGAATTTTTAATAATTTTTAATATAGTTTTACATGTTAAATATAAATTAACTCATAAAATCATATAAATTTAAGAGTTTGTTCATGACTTTGACAATCTTGTTATAGAATCAAATTGTCATTTTTTTTTTCTAAATATACTTAATAACTTGAATGGAAAGACAAGTCATGGAACTGAGGGTAAGAACATACAAAATTAATTTAATAGGAATTTCTATAGGAACTTTGCGTCATGCAAAAATAACTTTTGACAAGTAAAAATGCTACAATGTATATCTAAAGTTTTTTACCGAGTAATTATATGCTTCATTCGTGAAAAGAATTTAATGTTAATGTGATGCAGGTGGTGGCAAACGTTCCTTGTGGTGTTGGTGGTATACTCAGCATGGGCATCTATTTTTGAACTGGCTTTTAAGAAAGCCGCTACCGGAGGACTGTTGCCCGTAGATTTGGTGGTTGATGCCTTCTTTGCCGCTGATATTGTCTTAACTTTCTTTGTGGCTTATTTGGACACTTCGACCTATCTTCTTGTGGATGATCACAAGAAAATTGCAGCACGGTATGATTCCAAATCACAGCAGCACATTCATTTAATTTCACAACAAATTACTCCAGTTTAGCCCTAAAAATAGAAGAAGCTGCAGAAAATTTAAGACAGAACTATCACTGGGTGGCTTCTAACCGTAGGGTATTTTTGTCAAGTGATCAAAGGTTGAAAGAATCCGAATCCTTTTTTTTAAAAAAAAAAAATCTATGAGTTCAAACAGATCATGCTAAGATTTTATAAAAACAAATGTGATGGATGATAAATAAGAATAACTAAGTGAGCATATGAAAAAAGAAAATGAGAAAATGTTAAATTTATTTTTGTTATATTTTTTCACTTATTGTAGCATTCTTCACCTCACCTACAACCACAAGGGCTAATGTCAAGTTCACAATTAAACTCTGCTTGAACCACTGGGTTCAAGATATCCCTGAGGTTATATGGTCAAGGGTGTATTTGGTATTGTGTTTTTGAAGTATTTTTAAAAATATTTTGTTTTATTTTGTTTTATTTTAAATTAATATTTTTTTAATATTTTTAGATCATGATTTTTAAAAAATAAAAACAATATTATTTTAATATATTTTAAATAAAAAAATATTTTAAAAACCAACCACTACAACACTCCAAAGACACATTTAATTTGCAATGACTTAAATTACAACAATTGTACAGTACTCATTGCAATGCGTAACCATTAACAAAAAGTTATTGCTAGAATAACTCCTTGTCGCTAAAGAATATTTTTATGTTTCTAAACCTTTTCTAAAAATATTTTTAAATTTAATTTCTAAAAATCTTTTTTACGTTTCTAAGAACCTGTTCTCTGACACTATGCCATCATGGATTTCTTGTAGGAAACATTGAAGTAAATGAATGAAAATATTGAAAAATAATTTAATATCAATATTAAAAATAAAAATGAAAAAATAAATGTACTGGTCGTGGCGTATAAATCTATTTTTCTTAAAAGTAGATTGCATTCTCTAAAGAATATTTTTTAAAGCAGCAAGTTAATGGTGATAGACTCTCGAAGATAGAACTGCTGATCCTATACAAATGTGAACTAACAATGCATGATCTCATATGAATACTCAAACTCGTAAAATTATAGAGAGAAAAACCATAGAAGTTAAAAAGTTAAAGAGGAAAATATTATTTAGCTGGAGGATCCTTGAAGATGTACTCCTAACTACGGAGGGATTTGAGATGTCTATTGTAAAATAAACCCTAAATTAAATTCATAATAAAATCTGCTAAGATTTAATTTAATGATTTGACACCTTTTCCGTTATAATCTTTATACCAAATAATTTCTTTTAACATTTATTTTCCTAGGAATAAATATGATTTGAAAGATAACACTTCTCCAATGTTTTCTCAGGTATATCACCAGGTTATTGTTCCCCATGGACGTAGCCTCAACTCTACCATTTCAAATCATTTACAGAATCATAACTGGCGAAATGCACGAAGGAGAGACCTTCAGTTTCCTCAACTTGCTTCGGCTTTGGCGACTAAGGCGTGTGGCTGAACTCTACAAGAGGTAAATCTCACTATTGTCTAACAGAGAGGAGGGTGCGCTTCTTCTACACTAATCATCAACTTATTTTCTACAGGCTAGAGAAAGACACACGCTTCAGCTACTTTTACACCAGATTAATGAAACTAATCAGTGTAATAGTCAATTCCTTCACCATCACAAAAATAACTTTTGAGTTTCATATGCCCTGCGCCATTCATTCATTCCCATCAAGACTTGATCTTTCATCCATGGCAGGTTACACTATTTGCGGTTCACTCGGCAGGATGCTTCTACTACTGGCTTGCTGCCCATCATAAAACAGCAGGCAATACATGGATTGGAGCTCAGGTTCAAGATTTCAAACACAGAAGTATCTGGTTGGGTTACACTTACTCCATTTACTGGTCAATTGTCACTCTAACCACTGTTGGCTATGGAGACTTGCATGCAGTAAACACAGGAGAGAAAATTTTTAATATGTTTTACATGCTATTCAACATTGGCCTCACAGCTTATATAATTGGAAACATGACAAATCTCATTGTCCATGCTGCAGTCCGTACTTTTGCTATGGTAATTTCTCTTTTACCCTATCTATATGTTTTATCTATGCAACAGATTCTGTCAAAGGTTTCTACAGGACTATGAATATCTATGAAATTTGGAATATTCTAGAGTTTAATCCACTTGCTTGCTAATTTCACTTAACCAAACACGCCTTAACAACCTAAAACCAGAACGCTCAAGTCACAGACGAGTCTTTCATCTATATAACAATCCTACAGCTAGAACAATCTAACAGAACACAGCTTTGTGCTACTTAATAATCTACTATTGTTTGGTGTTTCGCAGAGGAATGCCATCAATCAGATATTAAGATATGCAAGCAAGAATAGACTCCCAGAAGGTTTGAAAGAGCAAATGCTAGCACATATGCAACTCAAGTTCAAGACAGCCGAGTTGCAGCAAGAAGAAGTGTTAGAGGACTTACCAAAAGCAATCAGATCCAGCATTGCCCTACATCTTTTCCATGATGTTGTTGCAAGCACCTACCTATTCAAAGGAGTTTCTGAAGATCTTCTTACCCAGTTGGTAAATGCCCTTTGCTCTCTGTAAAACTTGTATCAGTAAAGACACTGGTATAGCTACAAGACAGAAGGTAGAAATTATGAATGATACCTATAACAAAGTAATGCTAACTCTGGATTTTCTTGTGCTTTCTTCCAGATAACAGAAATGAAAGCAGAATATTTTCCACCTAAGGTTGAAATTATTTTACAAAACGAGATTCCCACAGATATTTACATCTTAGTATCTGGAACGCTGGTATGCCCCATGCTCACATATCTATCAAGTTCATCCATTTAAAGTAAGATATAAAATCTGAACTGTGACTCAAACTGCAGGACGTGCTGGTGTACAAGAATGGAACAGATCAGGTAATTTCAAATGCATGCATCAAAACATCACTTCCTGAAATAAATTGGATTCCATTTATTGGCACAACGATGACACCTCATGCATGATGCATATTCTACATAAGAAGGTTTCCCTACAAAGGAATAGTGCATATAAGTTGAACTTGGTTAGGCCATCCTGGCGTATAACAGATGAAAGATGAAAATTCTACTGCAGATGATTGTAAAAGGGATTCATCCTGCGTATATGTAGCAAAGACTCTGCAAGTATGATTTTATCATCACCAGTCAGCAGCTTTTCTTTTTATTTAAGTGGTCATTTGGGGAGGCTTGGGGAACTTTCCTGGCAGTCAAGAATATATTTAGAAAAGAAATCATGCTATAGTCACACATACCGTTTAAATTGAAACATCACTTTATCCAAAGAGCAGATGCTAGGGATGCAAATCCCTGAAGGGTAATGCTTCACAGATCCTGTCTCGAATCCTGTTGTGGCAGATCAACAAAAGAAGGTTCAGGAAATCACTATATATAAAGTTCAAGGCACAATATCAGAAAATAAATTCCAGTCCTGCCTGTGATAATACAACATAAATGATAAGTAGATGTAATAGAACTGGGAAATAATAGGAGATGACAAGGAGTCGCAATGCAAATATAATAAGCAGAATAATGTTTATGGCCACAAGAAAAGGTACAGAATATTTCTTAAGTGATCCCTGCACATCTCATCTATCCTAGTATTGATAGTTTCTTGAATTTAAAGAAATAGGATAGCATAGGCAAACTAATGTGAGAAAGCTCTCAGGAAATAATAGCGAAACTCAAAACAAATCTACACCTATAATATATAACAAATTGTTCCTTGTCCTAAAAATATATGTTCATGGTGTTCAGGTTTTGTCAAAGATAGGACCTTCAGATGTGGCAGGGGAAATTGGGGTTGTGTTCAACATCCCACAACCTTTTACTATGAGGACCAAGAGACTTTCCCAGGTCATCCGGCTCAGTCATCATCATCTCAAGCAAATGGTGCAGCCCCATAGCGAAGATGGAAAAATAATTATCTCCAACTTCACTCAGGTTAAAGAACTTATTTGTCTCATAGCATGACCAAATATAATCAGTTGTATGCCCACCAGCACATGTATCGGAACTGCAATTTAAACTGAAGCTGATGTAGTTATTTATAATGACTCTTTGAGTGCAGTACATGAAGGACTTAAAACAAGAGATGCAACAAGAAATACCCTCTTTCAAGGAATTGCTGGGAGACACAACTGTAGAGGTATATTTCTATCTTCAATCAATTTAACTAGTGTTAAACAAATGCTTTGACTAAACAGAGTCATCTTAATACACTTATCTGCCAGCAAAGGCAAAGGTTGTGTTCAACTATGCATAAACCTGTTATGGCATTGGAATTTGAATTGCTTTTAAATGATACAAGAGAATAGTTTATTGTCCTCATTTCAATTGTAATTGAAGTTACCAACGTATAAACCCAAAAAAAGAAAGAAAAGATAAAATGTTAACAGCACCACTCAAGACATTCAGAACTAGCTTTGAAATTGCATGTATCCTAGCAGCCTTTTCTGATCCGGCATTTCAGATTTATTATTTATCAATACTGGCTCCCAGAAATGCATCGAAGTCACTCCAAAAAATGTTTTGGATTGTACTGCATGTTATATTGTTTCTGGTAAATGCATAATACCAGTTTGGCCGATATAAAATCTGGACAGCAGTTCTAATTAGTATTCTCTTTATAACGGTCATTATCTTTTCCTTGCAGAAAGCAACAGCAAATGAGGAGTTACCAAGTTCTGATGCAGAAAATTCTCAAAGAGAAACAAATTTAGAAGGTAAAAATGACACTTAAAACCAAAACTACTCAAACATCATAGGGCAACCAAGCAGGAAAAAAAGGATGGGAAATAAAGATTGTTTAATTTACATTTCATCTTAGATTTTTTTTTTTTTTTTTTTTTTGGGTGGATAGGGGGTTGGGTGATTTCACAACTAATGAAAGATTTGAGCTTCATCCCATGCGTTTTCAGGAACACCAGAAGATTCTACTTCATTAGCAAGCAAATATCCCACACGAGTGATAATACATGGGCATCATCCAAATGAAAGTCCAACGGGGGACACAAACGGAAAGCTCATACATTTGCCCAACTCTATAGAAGATCTATTCAATGTAGCAGGTAACAGGGTTGTGAAACGAGTATCTATTCTCAGATGCTGATATCAGTTTTAACAATTAATATAAAATATAAGAAATGTCTTCAAACACTAAAAAAGAAGCATGTATACAACTCACAAAATACTAACTGGAAAGATATTTTCAAAAATTGGGGAACCAAAAGGCCCAAGATAATCTCTGTTTCCCACATCAAAGAAAGGCCAGATAAATGCATGAAGAGCATGACAAGTTCGCATCATGTGTCCTATATCACTCAAAGTCCGAACTCATTCATTGTTTTTCACAAATTGAAGCTAAACCTTGCTAAATTTGACGGATGCAGAAAAGAAGTTCGGCAAGCGTGGAAACAAAATTCTCATGGAGGATGGTTCAGAAGTGGAAGAATTGGATGCTTTAAGAGAGAATGATCGATTGTTTATTTTTGAATCTTAAAACACAAAACCAACATTCCATCATCAGCCTACATGTGCAGCTCATTTCAGTGAATTTTGCATAAACATATTAAAAGTTTGAGATATATAATATATGACAAGGGAGGGAAATACATGCTCCTATGTTTAAGTACATATTTTGTGACTGTTGATGGATCTGTGCCTTTATATACCTAACCGATACAGCATCTTCAAATGCATGGAAAACAATAGCTACACTCTGAATGCCAAGCTCTACTAAAAACATAAAAGGTAACAGCACAGGACTTGTAAGCTTACAATTCTTATTGAGCATGCCTAGTAAAGCATAAGCAGCTTTCTGAAACCTTTCCGTCTCTTCCTCCAAGCTTTTCTTCCTCTCAAAAGCAGCATCTCTGCATTCCCTATCTCTTCCATAACCCCACACGTGGTTTGATCAATTTCACTGCACAGAGTTTAAACTCAGAACTTGAAGCAAAAGAGAAGTTACATTAAAAAAAAAAAAAAAACACTTCTGCCATATTTCTTCAGAAATTTAAAACAGTAGCAGCAATTTTAACAAAATTTCTTATGCTGATTAACTCACGTTATCATCTTAAGCATGTTATCCACTCCCATCTGAAACTGCTGTGACGTATCTGCATACAAGAGAATAGAACGATCAAAAATCAACATAAAATTTCACGTTCAATTTCTTGAATAAGAAACATGACATTTAATCTAATTAGGGTTATATTTATTTCACTAATATTAGTTCAAGTTTATTCAAAATTCCACGTGACCAAAAGTCATGAGATAACTGTTTTTTTATTTTTACTAAATCGAAAAACTATGCTTATTAATCACAGCCAAACAGAGATCGATGTGTAAAACATTATCATTAACAAACCGACTTCTCTAAGTATTATGTAATCAATTTTTTTTCTCGACTTATCTAGCTCAACCTCACTCGATCACACAGATTCTAGTAAACACTAACAAGATTTTGTAAGACCTGAAATTTAAAACAAAAAAATACCAGAAATCAAGGGCGTGAAATCGTACGATATCTAAACCTAAATAAAACCGATTACTGGCAGCAATAAAATTGAATTAATAAAAAAATTCTTGAAAATTATAATTTAAGGTGTGATTATAATAACAAAATCAATTAGTGCACGATATTCAAAATAACTACGAAATTTGAATAAATAACGGAGAGAAATGAACGTGAGGCGGAGCGAGAGAGAGACGAACCGTAAACGAGAGAAGAAATTCTGATGAAGGAGTAGGAAGAAGTAGGCTAGGATTGAGCTCGCTTGGTGTTGTAGATGTCCTTGCATCTTTCTCGAGTAATTTTACGGAACGATTCTGAAATTAATTATATAAATTTTCAGTGTCCCGAAATTAGCGGAACTCAAACTATAATTTTTAAAAAAATAAATATAAATCTAATTAATTATATTATATTTTTTAAAATTAAAAGTTTTTTTTAGAGAGAGAAAGAGAGAGCGAGAAATTGCTAGGTGTTGAGCATCGGAATCAGAGGGCGCGTGAAGTGAACGGAATCTATACAGCGGGATTTTTAAAATTTCTATAGGATGGGGAAATGTCAAATACACCCTCCATTGCGTTTTGTAAGAGGCTGATTAGGATTATAATAGTAGATGTGATTTAAAATAATTTTTAATTAGAAATATATTAAAATAATATTTTTTATTTTTAAAAAATTATTCTTGATATTAACTTATCAAAATGATATAAAAATATAAAAAAATTATTTTTAACAAAAAAAGTAAAATTTATAAGAGTATAGTTTCCCAAGCAGATACCAACATGGATAATTAAATGTTAGATCATAATCTCTAGTTTCTCTTCTTTCTCGAGAGTCTTAAAAATTATTAAAAATAAATAAATAAGCCATGTGAGAATTTTATTTTTAAAGATTTATTTTGCACACTTTTATAAATAATTATAAATTAAAATAATTAATTTTTTTATAAATTCTAAATTTGATCTTTTATTTTTTTTGGTATAATTGAGTATTTTAAAACCCAAATTACTATCTAAATACTCTTTTTTTTGTTTGTAGAAACAATGTCAAATTAAAATACAGGGATCAAAATAAAAAAGAAAGGTAAAATAGATAGAGGCTTTAGATTTTATATAAAAAGTTTTATTATGACACTTGTTTTTTGTTTTATGCATAATCGGTCCCTTTAATTGTCATAAATTTAATTTTGATAGTAAACTTCAATTCCTTTTATTTTAGTTTTTCTTGTGAGAGGAGAGAGAGAAAATCATTGAATTCTAGTTTAAAGAGATAAAATCATTATTTATATTTATTTTAATTATTAGAACGAATAAAATTAGTGTTGATAGGTGCCATTTTATGAGAAAAGTTTTATAATGGTCGTTTTGAGCCTTGATATTGCCTATAAAAACATATCTAAATCGACAAAAAAAAAAATTATCTAGTTTAATTTTGTAATTTGAGCCATTCTTTATGTTTATTGGGTTGCTCAAAATGGTGTTTACATGTTCTAGTACTAGTTATAGAGTGCTTTTGGCTTTAAATGAGTTGAGAGATGGGGTTTTTAGATAACAAAACCTTAGCTCAAATTTTTAGGCCATAATAATGGTGATTGAAATATGAACTAGCACACAATGTGTTATTTGTCTTTTTAAAAATATAGATGGATAATAGGTTGTTAGTCTCTTTAAATATGAAAAAAAAAGCTCCACGAGCATGTGCCTAGACTTAAATGTCCACCCGACTAGGTTACACTAAGTGCACTAGCTTATAGAGCCATAATATTAGGATTTTTTTAGGCCTTTTTGCTTTTTTGTTAATATAAATTTATAAAAAATAATATTAAACTCAATTAAGTTTATAATCTATATCACAAGTATAATGAGTTAAGTCACAATATCCAGTTTATTGTTTATTTTTTTATATTTAATGTATTTTTTTAATTTAAAAAATATAATTTCAATGTTTTTTATTGATGGTCTATTTTTTATTTAACCTGATATAAAAAAATACAACATCACCCTTTGTTATCTCAATTTCACGAGCATGTCAATTTTTTTTTTAAAAAAAGGATATTTCATACTAAAAATCACATGTGCTTTATTGTCATACAAATCTATTAAATGAAAAATAATTCAAAAAATAAAAATTTTATTGAATACAATGACATGTATAATTTATATCAAGAGTTTGGTTAATTGACTCAAGTTCACTTTAATTATTTTTTAAAGAAAAAATGAGTGCTTTTTATTTTTATTAATGTCATTATTTGATATTAAATTAATTAAAATTTTAGTTTTTCATATTATTTTTTTTAAGATTACCCCTGCAAACTTTCCATATCAATTTTAAATTTATGGTTAAAATCGTTTTTGTTCTTTTAAAAAATACACGAGGAACACATAAACTTTTTTTTGTGTTTGAAATAAAAACTACTCTAACCAATGGCATAGCGCGGGATCTTTGAGTCGTGAGCTCTAGGATCAATTTAGATTTTTTTTTAAACATACATTTTATTTTAAAAAATCATTAATTTTAACCTAAATGAATTTAAATTAAATTTTATGAAGTTAATTTAATTACAGCATAATTCATAGAGTTACTAGAATTTAATCGGGTTAATGTCAAAACAAGTTTTAATTTACGAGTTTCTCAAGTAAACTTATCAATTTTAGTTAAATTTAATAACCATGGTTTCTATTTACATGATAATTTATCTTTTTAAAAAGTTTAATTGTAAATTTTGATTTCAACCGGAGTACTGGACCAATTAGAATTAGGGAGGCTGAGTTTTGATGGATTAATTTTTATATAATGGCCCCCATTTATCGTTTTACATGATAATTAGGTCTGTTTATTCATGGTTCTATTCAAATTAATGAACATAACCAGGCACGGTAATTTACTACACACACACTCTTTTCAGCTATGTTTAATTCGTGTATTTATATATATATATATATATATATATATATATAAATTATATATACATTCGTCCTTGTTTGGTTTCGCCAGTGAATTGTAAGAAGACACACAGCATAAAATATAGTCCAGCTTTTTATCTATTTAGGATGTCTTTGAAGATGCGGTCGAATTAATATTTTATTTTATTTATTTTAAATTTATATTTTAGTGTTTTTTATCATTTTAATGTATTAATAATAAAAATAAAGTTCAAAATATTATTTTAATATATTTTAAAATAAAAATTACTTTAAAATATTATCATACTTTGAATGTGTAGGGGCATACAAATATCATTGATCTATTCAATTTTCTGGGATTATTGGGAAGCTGAAACCTAAGACATTGATTTATTTATTTTTTCCAACACAAATAGCATATATGCTGACATTTTCTCTTCTTTTTTCCAAGACGAAATATAAAAATTCATTAACTAATTACTAATTTATTAACTGATAAATATGTGAGAAATTTATTTCCCCACAACAGAACGAGTGAAACCAAACCCGATATATGATTTCGTTAAGCCTACAAAATTACAAATAGATCCCAAAAGAAAAAGGGATCTGTGAATTTAACAGATACTTAGGGCGTTTTAAGCTGCATGGAACATGCACAGTGGCAACAGCTGGGCCCACTTTTGATTCCAAGGCTGCATAAGAAAAGCGAGTTGGTTAATTAACTTCGTTAATTTAGTAATTTTTTTATTAAAAAATACTAAAAAATATATTAAAACAATTTTTAATTTTTTAAAATTATTTTTATATTAGTACATTAAAATAACTTAATATAAAAAATAAAATAAAATTTAAATTTTTTAAAAATACTTTTAAAATGAAAAAAAAATTAGTGTTACAAGAGACAAGAGAAATAAAATTTATATGGTTTGAGAGAGGGAAATAAAAATAAAATATATATATATTTTAATAAATTTTTATCATTTTAAAACTTGAATGTATTTTGTTATTTGAAATTTAAAAAAAAAACATGGTCAAATGTTAAAAGATATCGTTTTTAATCAACGACAACCTACACCCAATGAACAAGGATTCAGTGGAGGAAAGTCGAAGATTCCCATGAAATAAAGTATGAAATGGATATCTTTAAGTCCAAGTAAATTAAGATTGATTTGGTTGAGCTCATAAATTTGGGATTATTCGTTTTTTGTTAAGTAATCAATTTTTTTGGTGCAATGATCCATCATCCAATGTTCATCTAAATTTAATTTAAGATCATTAGAAACACTTTTTTCATGAAAAAGAAAACTCGAAATTTGGTAGTTATGTGTAAATAGAACGCTTTGGTATTTTTATTACAATATTGTTATTCAAATCTTTTATATATATATATACACAAGAGAAAGAGAAAGCGAAGAAAAGAGACATTGCTTTAAAGAAATATATAGAAAGCGAAAAAAAGAGACATTGCTTTAAAGAAATATATATAAATATATATAGAGAGAGACGGAGAGAGAAAAAAAGTTTTATTTTGAAAAAAATATTTGAGAATATAAATATGATTAATTTTTATTAGGAAATGTATCAAATTAATATTTTATTATTATTTTTTAAAAATTATTTTTGATATCAGTGTATAAAAATAATACAATAATATTAAAAAATATTAATTTAAAATAAAAATATCTTTTTTAAATCATAAAAATAAATTGTACGAATATTTTCTGTTTCTGTGGGCTAATCAAAGCATGAGAAGTTGAAGAGGCCCAGGCCATCTAAAGCAGAATCCAATATGCATTGCAGCAGCAGTGGCACCTTGCGCTAGCTCAAGAGTACAATTTTTTCGGTCCTCGTTAGTCAAGAATTTACAAGACCAATGCCAAATGTTCTTGAAAGACTAGATTAAAACAAATTAAAATAACCCTTTCGAGATCTGCAATCTTCCTTTTGATGCCCACAAAAGCAACAATTTGATGGCAAATTTTGTTCTTAATCCAACAATTAAGCATAGCCTAACCTAAGCATCAAAATCTCATGGAGGAGACCTTCCTGAACAAAAAATATAATTTTTTTAAGTAAATATATAATGTTTTTTATCTATAGTTGTAGTTATAGTTATTTTTTAAATTATTTTTCATGTAAATATATTAAGATAATATTTTTTATTTTTAAAAAATTGTTTTTAAAATTAACATATTAAAATAATTTAAAACATATAAAAAATAAATTTAAAAAATAAATTGAAAAAAAAAGAAGATTTTTTAGAACCGCGTTTTTGAACACTAATTCTCTACGCCATGGGATTTCTTGGAGGCGCCTCCAAGCACGTGTGGTTTTTATGAAAAGTGGAACCATTTCCTTCTTTCTTTCTTTCTTCTTCCCTGGATTCTATCATTTAGACGGTGTTGGATTGACGAGAAA